GAATTCTGGGAGTTGAAGTCCACACACCTTAAAGTTGCCAAGGTTGAGAAACACTGGTTTAGGGCTTAACTATCACAACGGCTTGCATATTACTTTGTGATAATCAACATCTATTTGAATAGGAGTGTTTAACATTCCCACGATTATTTTGAAGAAAAAGCAGTCAATTGGGATAGGAGATACCTTGTCGCTCGGGATTGCCACAAATCAGGGAAATGAAGGCAGCAGCTCTTCCTTTCTTGTTTCACCTGCTCATGCTCTGGAGAATAATATGGAAAGGAAGACTGGGCCTAATACTTCTGCTTGCTTGCTCACCATCTCAGGGCAATACAGCCTGAAGACCTGAACACAGAAATAGTAGTTACCCCAGTCTCTTCCTTACTTCTGTGGGGTCATGCACTCATGGAGTTTGGGGAATAAGAGAAGTTAATTTCCTGTTGCTTACCTGTCCTTTCCCTCCAAAATGCTCTACACAACTTAACAAACACATGGGTTGGAAATTAAACAATGAAGTATGTGTTTTAAGAAGTATGTAGCAGAATGAACCAGGCAGAGCCAGCCATAGCCACTGCCATCTGAAACACATACTCTCTGAGATCCAGCTGACCCTGACTCTGCTTGTGTTTCAGAAGGCCTTGAAAATTCAGCTGTTTTTCTGGGTGTAGGGACTGAAAGGGTTAATGGGGCCCGTGAGGCTGAGGTTATTATAGTGACTGTTGTTGTCCTTGGCTGCTATTATCTGTACATCATCATCTTTTTTAAAAATTGTATTTTAGTTTTATGTTAGGCACCCAGTGTTGTTGTTGCAAGATGGGTGGCCATATGAATTAATTGAAATAAATAATCCAGAGGACAGAAGCAAACCACCACCCAGAGAAACAGCAACTACCTCTGCCTGTTCCTGTTCTATTTTTAACTGGGCTGTAGTGACATCACCATCTCTGCCTGCTTATCTGCCTTCTCATATTTAGTGTTTTGGAAGCCTGAACTCCCTGTCCTAGTGCCACAACACTCTTCTCAGAAACTGAGTGGCAGAGAGTATTAAGGGAGAGGCAATTCTTCCTACAACGCTCCCAGCTGGTAATGGGTAATATATAAAGTGTAATTAAGAACAACAGGAATATGCTGCACTTTCCAATAAAAGGTAAGCATTTAGCCTCTGGACAGCACTGTAGGCCAATCCTCCCTCTCATAATACCCAGAGTAAACAGAAGAAGTGACAGGACTAATTATGGTTTTCTCTTACCTGAAGCTTCTCTGTTTCTGTTTATCATAGAATCATAGGGTTGAACCCCCTGACCAGTGCAGGAATCTGCACACCATCCCAGACAAATGGCTTTCCAAACTTTTCTTGAATACTTCCACTGTTGGAGCACCCACAACTTCAAGAAGCAGCCTATTCTACTGCTTAATGGCTCTCAGTCAGGAAATTCCACTTTATCTGAAGTTTGAATCTCCCACTGTAAAGTTGGTCCTTCTCTTACCCTTAGGTGCCATGGAGAATAAATCCACATACTCTGCCCTGTATCATCCTTTCATGCATTGGAAGACTGCTATCACGTCTCCTTTTAGTCTTCTCTTCTTTGGGCTAAACATACCAAGTTCCTTTAACCACTGTTTGTAGGATTTAGCCTCCAATCCTTACTATCCCTGTTGCTCTTTTGTGCATTCATTCCAGTTCCTGAGTATCCTTTTTCTGTTGTGGCGACCAGAACTGGACACAGTATTCCAGGTGCAGTTTGACCAGCACAGCATACAGAAGTACAGTCATTTCCTCTGATCTTAACACCATACCTTTGTTGATGTAGCCCCAAACTGCATTGGCTCTTTTGGCAGCTGTGGCACACTGCTGGCTCATGCTTAATCTGTGGTCTATCAAGGCACTCAGATCCGTCTCACAAGGACTACTGCTAAGCCAGGTACTGTCTGTGTTGTACCTGTGCATTTGGTTTTTCCTGCCCAAGTGTGGAACCTTACATTTCTCACAAATGAACAGCATTTTGTTGCATATGGCCCAATGTTCAAGTCTATCAAGATCCTTTTGAATCTTGAGCCTGTTTTTTGGGAGGTTAGCAATTCTCCCCCCCCCCCATTTTGTGTCATCTGCACATGTTATGAGCATCCCTTTTGTTCCCTCACCAAAGTCATTTATTTATTTACTTATCAAATTTATATGGCTGCCCATCTCACATAAGGTGATTATTCTGGGTGGCATACAATAACACCACCAATTAAAACATATTATAAAAGCCACTTAAAACAATTAAATAATTAAACATACATCAGAACAAGATGGTGAGAGGGTTAAAATTGGAATGTTATTCGTGGTACAACCAATGTACAGGCTACCTGCTGCCAGGGGATCCCCAGGCCTGATGAAAAAGAGCATTCTGAGGGCTTTCTAGAAGACCACAAGGGCTGGGCTAACTTCACCTCAGGGAGGAGGATGTTCCAAAGTGTGGGTGCCATGGGAGAAAAGGCTTGTCTCCTATGTCCCATCAGATGGAACTCCTTAGTAGACAAGACCCACAACATGCCTCTCTTGCTGGAGAGGCAGGATTTTATACAGATTTATACAGATGTTTATACAGATGCTGAAGAGTACTGGGCCCAATGAGGTACCCCACTGTATTCCTCCCTCCATGCAGACACAGACCCATTAAGGACCACATGTTGGATACAGTTGTTCAGCCAACTGCAAATCCATCTGGTAGTGGGATCAACCATCCCACATTGTTCCAGTTTATTGAGAAAGAGGCTATGGTCTACTTAGAAACAGCAGATAGTACTAAAGAGGATCTAAAACTTCCAGGCTGGAGATACCCTGTTCTTTCCCAGTACAGAAGTACCAATTACTTTTTAATTGGTTTAATCTTTAATCTGTTTAATCTTTCCTTCAAAATAACACCAGCAGTATTATGCACTGTATGTTAAGCCCTCTCTCGCCAGTGAATTCTCTAAACTACGTGTTGCTATTATTAACTCAATAATCTCATTTCACCTTCCTGATTCCACCAACAATTTCGGCAGGTAAGCTGGACTTTAAACATTATCGAAGAAGGTAAAGCTGTCCGTTCGTTTCCTTCATACTGTGTTGTAATTTTATTTGTGAGCCCACGGGGCTCTATACGGACTCCCGGGGCCCAGATGGACTCCGTCTGCACAAAACACACGGATCCAATTTTCTACCTTTTCGCGACTAACTGAATGAACTACGCTGCTCGCGTTCACACCGTACAATACCGTATGCTAAAACGCGGGTAGCTACCGTGCAGTTCCGAGTTCTCCAGAGTTCGTGCGGCGCGAGAACACAACCGCAGGGGAAAAGCAGACAGAGGAGCCGTCCCCAGAGCCCATGTGGAATAACCAGAAGGCCACTCTCGGCTTTTCGTCGCTTCCTGTACCGAAACCGTATCGGTCAAAGACGAAGCCGACTCGCACAGGCGGGGCGGGGCTTGCAGTCGGGGGCCTAACGGACCTAAGCGCCCGAGGCTGAGGGTCAATTCATTGCAGCGCAACGGCGCTGAAAGCCTCACTGTCCCCTCTCCCCGTTTTGGAGGAAGGGAGCGGAAGCCAAAGTGAGCGTGCGCAATGGACTCTCACAAATGAAAGCTGCTGATTAAACGGCGGGGAAGTTAGGCCTCGGCTTCACAGCAGGCGGCCTCCCTCCCTCTCTCTCCCCTCCCTTCCCTTCCACGAATGTTATTTTCCTCTCCTGGCTTCGTTCCTCGGCCTTAGGACAACCCTTTAACAGGGACACCCTTTTTACCTGCTCGAACCAAGGCCACCGCCGCTGCCGCTGCTCCTCGGCTCTGCCCCAGCTGAGGAATGAAAAGTGAAAGCGAAACGGCCCGGAAAGTACTTGCCCCGCTCAGCCTCTGAGGCGCCTCTGGCCCTACGCGAGCGGGCAATGGTGTGAAGGGCAATAAAGCATCACCGGCGAATCTTATTTCTCGTTACTAAATACGCTGCCCAGTGAGTCATAGGAACACCTGTTTCATTCCTTAGACTGGTGCTTCTCCACCATGGCAACTTGAAGAAGTGCGGGATTTAACTCCCAGAA